ATGATATAACTTCTAAACATATCTATAATTGTATTTTATGTTTGTGAATGTGTACGTGCAAAAGAATGAGTTTCAATATTAATGACTTTACAGAGCACTGTGCATAGCATAACTGTATTTATAGTAAGTTTATGTATATGTACACTACGTTATAAAATTTTTAATTCATGCAATTATATAATATTTACAAAACAAACAAATCATTTGAATTTTCTACTTACATGCATTCCTAGGCGATCAATTTCAGAAAGAACCCAACCAACAGATCCATCTCCACTGCATACCAAAATTCGAAATGGGTCAAAGTGACGAAATAATCTTAACCTATTTACAACAAATTCATAATAAACATTAATTACATAATTTAAAATTGCAAAAAAGATTTATAAAATGTCTTACCCTGGTCCTGGTCCTCCTTTTATAAGATCAAATACTTGTGCTGGATTCAATAATTGTTTAAATCTTCTAAGAAATTTAACACCTTGATTGTCACCAGATTTACTATTTACAAATACTAAAAGTGGACTACACCCAGTAGGTCTAATGGCTTCCCAAGCTTCATCACTACCTATTAAATATTATTGTATATTATGTAAAATTATAAATTTATTTGAAATTGATGTACTGTCAAACAATTATAGTAAAAATTTATTTTCTATGATAATTAATAATAGTTCCTTTTAGTGAATATAAAAGCTCAATAAACAATATTCATTATTAGTATCAGACAAGAGTATATGTGCATCCTTTAAAACAGAATAACTTTTTTTTAATTAGACCAAACGACTTGAGTTTTGTTTTAGAAATTAGAAGGATTAGTTTACTAGATGATGTGTAAAAAATTTTTTAAAAATTGTAATTGGTCGAAATCGCAAAGAAAGTAGTGAAGGTCGCTTTTTACAACTTTTTTATCTGAGCCTGTAATGAAAATTTAAAACATACGTTTTGTAGACTTATGTCAATTATATACACGCTGAAAATTTCATCAAAATCGGATGATACAGAAACAAACAACAGGCACCGAAAGATGTAAGAATCTTTAGATTTATTACAGTTATAGGCCAAAAATCGTGAAAACCTGCGACTTTCACAATTTTTAACTGTTTGTAGCTCATAACAACGTTAATCGATTTCGATGAAACTTTTAGCATGTATATAATTGACATAAGTCTACAAAACGTATGTCCAATTTTTAAAAAAATTATTCTGTTTTAAAAGGTGTACATATACTTTTGTCCAATACTGTATGTATTTCATTCACACTGAAAACTTTTTAAAGATAACAAAATACTATAAATATTAAAAATTTTGATAAATAACGTCACCTATACTATGCAGTGCTGTAGGAGGAACTACACTCAATTTAGCTGGTCCTAATGGACATTTAATGCTCATGGCAGGTCTACATGCAGTATGTACTGTAGCTCTGCACCATAAACATCTCCAATCTTGAAGCCTAAATAGTTGAAGTAAG